CCCCGTTCCCTCCCCCCGGCCGGAAGAGCCTTGCCGTGGGCGCTCTGCCAGAGGTGGTGCTTGTGGCCTGTTAGGGAGCTGGGGAATGCGGAGGGTGTCGTCCCTGGGTACTGCTCCTTTGCCGGCCAGTGCCCTTTGGGGCGGCAGCAGCTGGCAGAGGTGCCCGGCGCTTTGCCCCTTCGCGGGGACATTGTCATCTTCTTTCTCGCTGTTCCTCCTGGGTACTGCTCCTTTGCCGGCCAGTGCCCTTTGGGGCGGCAGCAGCTGGCAGAGGTGCCCGGCGCTTTGCCCCTTCGCGGGGACATTGTCATCTTCTTTCTCGCTGTTCCTTCATCTAAAAGTAGGGAGGCCCCTGCCCTGCTGCCTCGAAAGGCCTCCTTGCACCTCCTGGGGACACCGCCCACCCCTCCACTCCCCCACAAGTCCCTGTGGGTCCCCCTCCCACCCCCGTGGCTCCCAGGCTCCCCCTGCCCCTCTTTCCTGTCGTCACTCAGGACGGCAACAGGTCACACCCGGGGCGGGGGGATAAACCCAAGATAAGCCAGTTCTTGGGGGCTAGGTAAGGACATGTGCGACCCGGACGCATGGGGCCGCACGTGTCCCCCGGTTCTTCTGTGTGAGCGCAATCAGCAGGGTTGGGCCAGTGATGCTAATGCGATGCCTGAGAGCGGCGTTCAAAGGCTCCTGCCCTGGAACACACACGTGCCATCCAGCCGGGGCTAGGCTCTGCCGAAAAGCCATTCGGCCTGAAAACAGGGGCTTGCTCTCTCTGCGGGAAAGCACAACCTCCCGGCGGTTCCAGCTCTCCCAGCAGGAGGCCCCTGGCAGCCGCGAGGAGGAGCAGCAAGGTGGAGGCTCTGTGAGTCGGTGATTCGTGGCCCGGGGGGAAGCGTAGGCCGTGGATTTGGATGCCCTGCAGGGTTAGCTGTGCGTGCTGCGGCCAAACAAAAATGTTGTTTGCAACCCTATTGGAAACGGCCCTAGAAAAAACTCCGCCAACCTGACGCTGCTTGTTTATCTTGTCCGTTACCAAGCAAAGGCATCCGGGCAAGACATAGACCATCTCGACTTCAAAATTGTTGTGGAACCAAAAGATTCTCCCTCCTTCACTGTCATCCTGGTGGCATCGTCCAGGCAAGAAAAGGCTGCGTGGACCAGTGACATCAGTCAGGTAAGAGGAAATCAAGTAACAAAGCCCTTCCATATTTGGGCAGCTCCCCAGGTGGGCCAGGTTCAGAGACCGGCTGGGTTTCCATGGCAGCTGCAGATTGCTTACAGCCTCTGTAATCAGGCCAGTAATTTGGGGATAATGCCTGACTTCAGGCATCTCAGCTGGAGAACATTTGCATGAACTTTTCTATATGTCGCTTTTCCTGTTGATAACACTGGAGCCACCAGGGGGACGTGAGGCTGAAGCAGGAAAGTAATGCTAGGGCATTAGGAGAAAGTGCCCTGTGAATTATTAATCATTCTTCTTTGGTTTTGTTTCACTTGGGCTTTCTGGCCATGCTGCGGTTCACACGCACACAGCAGAGGTGTGAGTAAATCAGTGCTAAACTCAGGGTCTGTTCCGCTTGGAATAAGGAATATTGGCCCATAAGAACGGCCAGATGGGGTCAGACCAAAGGGCCATCCAGCCCAGTATGCTGTCTGCCCACAGTGGCCAAGGCCAGGTGCCCCAGAGGGAGGGAACACAACAGGGAATCATCCCGTGATCCTTCCCCTTTCACCCACCTCCAGAGAAACAGAGGCCAGGACACCATTCCTACCCAGCCTGGCCAATAGCCATTGATGGACCTAACTTCCATGAATCCATCTAGCTCTTTTTTGCACCCGGTTAGCTTTCACCACATCCTCCAGCAAGGAGTTCCGCAGGTTGACTGTGCACTGTGTGAAGAAAAACTGCCTTTTTGTTTGTTTTAAACCTGCTGCCTATTCATTTCATTTGGTGACCCCCAGTTCTTATTTTGTGGGAATAAATAAAGAACATTTCCTTATTCACTTTCTCCACACCAGTCCTGATTTTATAGCCCTCTATCATATCCCCCCTTAGTCTCCTCTTTTCTAAGCTGAAAAGTCCAAGCCCAACCGTCCATTCCCTTGCAACTAGTGGCTCATTTACATATATGCAAAAGAAGCATAACCAGTTTGGACTTTCCCCCTCACACCCACCTGCAGCAGCAATTTACCCGACTTTGCACTCACGCTGCAGAGTCATCGTGATGCTGCAAGGTGCAAAGAAGTGGAGAGCTGGGTCCATGCGGTAACGTGCCGTGTGTGTGCTGCTCGTCGGGGCGGGGGCAGGGGAGCGGGCAGAGGCGGGGGCAGAGTGAATGATTTCTAGGGCAGAGTTTTAGAATAGTTTGTTCTCTGCCACCTTTTTGCTGGGCAGTGTCTCATGGCCTTCAGGGAGGAAGCCATTGAGTAACTTTAACTCAGAGCATAGCTTCCCTGGGTCGCTCTCGGCAGGACCCCTAGATCCGCGGGGTGTGGGGCACAGGGGGAGAGAGGCTGCATGCCATCGTAAATATCCGAGACAAGGGGGGAGAGGAAACCTTTTTTCTTGGGCCCACTTCTGTTGGTGAGAAAGACCAGGAGGGTAGCTTGGACGCTTGTTTCTCCCAACAGAAGTTGGTCCAATAGGAGGTTCTCTCTCCCGCCTTGTGTCGCTAATATCCTGGCTCCGACACGGCGGCAGCAACCCTGCATGTGGTACGTAACAGGCAGCGGCGGAGGGAGTAGGGCGCTAAAACGCCCACGTGAGTGTCTGCCTGGCTATCTGGGAGGAGAAGGGGGCTGGAAGAGTTCAACTCGGAGAACAGCGGGGCAGAGAGAGCATTTCGTGGCTTGGCCCGGTCCGGCTCAGTTCCATTCTAAATTCGCCAAATCCTGCATAGAAGAACGGCTGATTTGTGCAGCTTCCTGTCACATCTCCGCTCGCGACTGGACTGGGCATGGACTCTTCTCCCCTTGTTCACCCCGTATTTATTTCCATCCGTCGCTGAAGAAAGCCACATTTCCAGCCTCTGTTTCACGGCAAATGGCCCCGGCAGAGGATGGATCCCGTCTGGATTAGCTCAGCGTCCCTGTCTCCTAGGCTGTGATGTCAGCGACTGATCAAACTGTCTCGGCGCTTGACACGAATTCCCTTGCCGGTGTCACTCAGCCTCCTTGCCCCCACCCTCCTGTGTTTCAGTGCGTAGACAATATCCGCTGCAACGGCCTCATGATGAACGCATTCGAGGAGAACTCCAAGGTCACCGTTCCCCAGATGATCAAGTAAGTGCGTTTTGCCGGGAGCGGGGCAGCTTTGCGTGTGGGACTGTCTCGGCGCTTGACACGAATTCCCTTGCCGGTGTCACTCAGCCTCCTTGCCCCCACCCTCCTGTGTTTCAGTGCGTAGACAATATCCGCTGCAACGGCCTCATGATGAACGCATTCGAGGAGAACTCCAAGGTCACCGTTCCCCAGATGATCAAGTAAGTGCGTTTTGCCGGGAGCGGGGCAGCTTTGCGTGTGGGCGCAAAGGCAGGCGGTCTGCGCGGGAGCCTGCCGTAGCTCGGCCCCGCACCGGCAGGGATGCC